TTTTGTTTCCTGTGATACAGTTTCGTTCAGCAGCCAAATCATCGACGCTCGAACGTGTCACCACCGATATCTCCTAAGAGAAAAATATTGTAAAAGGAACTGCCATGAGAACGCTATTTAATTTAATACTTGTTTTTCAAGCACGAGTATCAATTACATCGAAGAAGCATTTTTTTCAGGGGGAGGGGGTGCACATGTTACAACGCGGTGATCTCATAGACGGATTTGCGCATGCGCAAAACACTACATGTCACGTGATCACTGTAGAAGCATGTTTTCAGGGGGAGGGGGTGAGGGGTTGGCAGCTTTTGAAAATGCCCGCGCCAGTACCTTCTCCGCGATTACCTTCCCCGCGACACTGGCGCCGCCTGGTGGTGACGAAGAATCTGTATCAGTGGTCCAGAACTCTCTTAGTATATGGGAGGGGGAGAGGGTTGGCAGCTTTTGGAAAAAACTTATTTGATGTCGTCGCCTCGAAAGGGTGGCGGCAGCTTTTGAAATTTTATACTCAAATAATAACATCTCGGTGCACGAAAACGGCGGTTAGGGCGAGGGGACGGCGCGGCGGTTGCGGCGGCAGCGGTTAGGGCGAGGGGACGGCGCGGCGGCCCGCGCGATAAGGCGGCTCGGCTCCCCCTCCCCTCCCGTGACGTCATACCCCCCGCGCCTTGTACTTTCCCCGCGCCCCGCACCCGCCTCGGAGCCCCATGGCTTTGAACCGGCCTACCACCTCTACTAGTAAGCTAATTTACAAGTGAATTTGTTGGTGATCGGTAAAAAAACTTTCAGAAATAGGTTTATCATAAGGTACTGAGAAAAACTTTTGTTAATATTATTGTTATTATTCTGTAAGGTATTATTGTTATATACAGGGTGTTCCCGGGTTAAATGACAAAATTTGAAATACGTATTCTGGGCCTCAAAACAAAGAAAAATTTCCTTTGGAAGAATTCTCGCAAACACTTCGTTCAAGAGGTATTGACTTATTAAGTTACTCAACTGTAGGAATATTTTAATGTCGAAATATGGCTTTTTGCTTTGTTTTGGAAGTCGTCGGTCGTTAATAGGCTTATGTTAGCAATGTAAACAAAGCTCCTTTCGTTCGTAATGACCTTCAATCATTAAAACGGAGGATAGAGCAAGCGTGCAATGAAATTACAGCCACACAATGCCAATCAGCCACTCGTTCTGTCATCAATAGATGTAATGCTTGTCTCCGAGCTGAAAGCCATAATTTTGAACAAAATATTTAATAACTAATTTGTTATTACTCTGTAAAGCAATAAAGAAGTTAAACCTGTATTATTTCGATATTTATTTATTCCTATATTGTAATTTAGGAAGTATTATAAACTAATAAGTAATAACTTAATTCGTACGAATGAAAGGAGCTTTGTTTACATTGCGAACATAAGCCTATCAACGATCTATGACTTTCAAAACAAAGCAAAAAGAGACATTTCGACATTAAAATATTCCTACAGTTGAGTAACTTAATAAGTCAATATCTCTTGAACAAAGCGTTTGCGAGAATTCTTCCAGAGGAAATTTTTCTTTGTTTTGAGGTCCTAAATACGTATTTCAAATTTGGCCATTTAACCCGGGAACACCCAGTATATAAGATTTTATTCTGTTAGAAATTGTAGAAAAGATAAAAGAAAGAGGATAACTATTATTAAGAAAGTATATTAATGGCTTCAGTTAAGCTTTTTTGACGAAATTGTGGATGGGACAAACAAATTATTTTATCTATCATGTTGATGATTATGGCCTTTTTTTTAAACAAATGTGGTTTGAATGATGATTCAAAAATCTGCCAGAAAATGTGGTTTTGAGGAATATATCAAAAATGATTCTCTGATTATTAACAATAATTTTTGTATCAAGAAAATTTATGGCATTATCAGTGCTAACTTCCATTGTGAACTGTAACCTTTTGTGCATGGAATTAAAATTATTCAGTGTGTCGTTGATACTGTCAGAAAGGATTGCCAAAATTATGTTGTCCACATATCGATAATAGAACAATAGTTGTATAGTATAATTTTTGGATCGCAAACATTTCAAGATAAAGTTTCTCAAAGAAATACCTGACAGATTCATCACCAATGCTGACAAGGGGAATGTCACCGTTGCTCTTAATAGAACCAGCTACATATCTAACATAGAAGAAATATCTCTGATTATGATACTTATCAAGAAATTGGAAAAAATCCTACAAAAAATTAACACAAGATCTACGTGTCTTACTCACCAGATGGAGTAGAAATTATATTGAAAAGTCCACATATCGAAGATTACTCACAACCGATAGTAACTTACCTGGAGCATACGGATTAACAAAAATCCACAAGCAGAAGCAAGCTAACCCATTAAGAATAATAGTATTATCCATAAACAGTCTCCTATATACAACTTGTCCCTTTTTCTTCATAACATTATCAATAATAGCATACCTCTGAGGCTCCCAGCTACATAAAAGATAGCTTCCATCTAGCTAACAAATTATTTGGACTAAATATCAATTTACGCTATGTTTTAACTTCTGGATATTGTATCCCTCTTTATCAATGTCCTCGTAGATCTAGCAATAAATAGCATAAAAAGCAGATGGAATTACATAGCTAACAATATAAAAATTCCTCAAGACGAATTTATTATTGCAGTAAAATTTGTATTAAATTCCACCTTTTTAAATTCCACATTTAACAACAATTTTTACAAACAAATTTTTGGCACTCCAATGGGTTCATCTCTTTCTTCTGTAATTGCAGACATAGTAATGAAAGGTATTGAAATGTCTGCAAACAAAATATTACCTATACAACCGCCGTTGTTCTTCTATCGATATGTAGATGACATCATTTTGGCACTCCCTTCTGACAGTATCAACGACACACTGAATAATTTTAATTCCATGCAAAAAAGATTACAGTTCACCATAGAAGTTAGCACTGATAATACCATAAATTTTTTTTATACAAAAATAATTGTTAATAATCGGAGAATCATTTTTATATATTCCACAAAACCACATTTTCTGGCAAATTTTTGAATCATTATTCAAACCACCTTATTTTTACAAAAAGGACATAATCATCAACATGATAGATAAAATAATTCGTTTGTCTCATCCAAAATTTCGTCAAAAAAGCTTAACTAAAGCCATTAATATACTTCTTAATAATAGTTATCCTCTTTCTTTTATCTTTTCTACAATTTCTAACAGAATAAAATCTTATATACATAGCAATAATATCTTACAGAATAATAATAACAATATTAACAAAAGTTTTCTCAGTATCTTATGTTAAATCCATCTTTGAAAGTTTTTACCGATCACCAACAAATTCACTTGTAAATTATCTTACTCTATCACAAATACGCTCAAAGGTTTCATAAAGAGAGGCAAAAATCAACTTGAAATATTGTCTAACGAAAATGTTGTATATAAAAACTTTTGTGATAATTGTGATGCCAGCATTGCCAGCTATGTCGGCCAAACAAAAAAAACGAAAATTATAATAAATACTAGATTAAATGAACACTTTTCAGATATTAAAATAAGAATAGATTCACCATCAGTTATATCTGACCATCGCATTAACTTGAATCACAATTTCAAGTGGAATGAAGTCAAAATTTTAGATACTGAAACTTCTTATAATAAAAGACTGATATCAGAAATGATTCATATTAAAAAGTAAAAACATGGCATAATAGACAAAATAATACTGAAAATTTGCCAAATACATATTCCCAAATAATACAATTTCTTTCTTCCTCATAATTTCCCCTTCTCCTTTTCTTTCTTCTCTCCCCCTACAATACTTTTCTATCTTCATTTTTACAATCTTCTTTTCTAATATTGTCATACAACAATTCTCTGAAAGTCACCATTAGTTTATATCGTCTCTATATTATATAACATCTTTCCACATCGCCTTTGTCTCTGTAAAATTATAAGTTTTCTATCTAATAACTAGATTGATTGCTTGTTTGGAGTCATTTTCAAATAAAATAGGTATTTATATCTCATATGATGAACGAATTTGATTTTTATGTGGTATCTGGATATGTGTTGTGTAATATAACTGTTATTATTTTATGTCGTGCTATTGTAGTTCCACATTACATTTTCAAGATTTATTCATGAAAATGACTTTAAAATATTTCGATGCTAACTGTGAGACTTGTTATGAAAGGGACTATCCAACAATGATGAAAAAGAGAAAATAATTAACTAGTAACACTCGCAAGATTATTGACACCTATTTACGACAAAAAACATTGTTCGTGATGCAACCATTTCATCTACAGCAAGTAATAAGATTGTGTTACTTTAGTTGAAACAACCTAACCTTCGCGCGGATCAACTCGTCGTAATTCTACTAGTCGCAGAAAGAGGTTCGCACGGGAAGAGAGAATGCAGAAATAAGAAAACGCTTACTGTTACATTCCGGTTGGTTCGTATTGCTTACGGCGGTGACGAACGCGGCACGGGTAAATGAGAGCGCGGGCGCGGAGCGGGGCGCGCGGGGCGAAGCCTCGGCTTCTCAGCTGATTTTACTGTTTATATTTGACTGGCAGGCTGCTGTCACTAGTGCCTTCGCGAGGCACAATATTATGTCTTTATATCTTCAAGCCTTGTCTTTATAGCAGAGTGCTAACGACAATGTCTTTCTAATTCTAGACAAGAATTATATTTTATCTGCCCTTCGTATCCTCCAAAAAAATAAAATAGAGAGATTTGAGGAAACGTCAGAGTTCTTGTGTCATATATAGATGACATTTATGCTTCATCATCTAGTTTCACTCATCCACGTCTCTCTTTGGGGAGGATAGGAGGGGGTAATAGAAAATGAAAAACTGAGATAAGTAAGAATTAAAACAAAAATGATTTGAACAATTATATTTTAATTATTAACGTTAACATTTATAATGCTTCCTTCTTCCTGCTGGTAATCAGGATTGGCCGAGTCGGCTTCCGCGACGGGGCTATGCACACTGGCGGCGGAGTGCGGGGGCGCGGTGTAGGTCACGACGTCGATAGCGGTTTCTCTTTGGTTACGTGGCCCTTCGGCGAGCAAGCGGGTTGTTGGGTCGCTGTTTTAGCCGTCTTTGTCGTACCGGCTGGGGTATGTGGCGACTGAAGTGATCGCGGACTGTCTCCAGATTCTGCCGCCCAATAAATTGAAAGGTCGAAGGTCCCTCCCTGAGTATAGTCTCGAATGACCTCGCGTATGCGGACTTTTATTCCTCCTCTCTTACTCCTTATGCGCCTTTTTCTGTACTTTTTTGGCATCTATTGAATTTGAGATGTTGGTGACGAAGTTGCCCGATAATAAATTCGGAATACGCGTTTTTAGTGTATGAGGGTTATTATAAGTATGATATTAGTATCCCTAATACTGGAAAGATATTCTAAGCATAAGATCAAAGTTTTCGGATGTAGGCTCGATATTTCGGTTACCGGAAAGATATTCTAAGTATGATTATTCCTGCCTTGTGAGTAAATATTCTGTGTATCGGATTCGACGTTCTCGGTATAAGAGCCAGTATTCTAAGTATAATTATTTCTGACGCGTGGGTAAATACTCCGAGTATAGGACTATATGCTCTTAATGTTGAAAGAGATTGTTCTAGGTATAAGATAACTTCTAGGTGAAAGATTTTAATATTTCGCGTAGATTAACGTTTTAAACATCGGACCTTAGATTTTGATAGTAAGATTAATATTCGAGACGTAAAAGGAGAATATTCTAATTTTTAATTCTTTAGCCTTCGCGATGTGAAAGAAAATGTTCTACGTATGAGCAAGGAAATATCTTAAGTATGTAAGTCGAGGTTTCTTGAGTCTAAGATTTTAATTATTTCGGATAGCTACTTAACGTTTTGAAGATTGGACTGAGTTTAAATGTTCGCGACTTAAATCTATATGGAATAGGTAGTGATTATGTCTATACAATGATTCCTGGACGCCGAAAAGGCTCGGACAAGAATCGCCAAATATTTGGAGGGATTTTTATTGCAATGATTCCAGAACGCCGTGAAGGCGCGGACTAGAATCGGCTGGAAGATGGTACAATTTGAAGGGAAGCCACAGAAATGCCTTTCGGCGCGAGATATAGTTACCTTGTCTGAGACCTTTTTCAGAGAGGAATAGGTACGCTCCGCTAGAATCGCCCGTGTGAGGACGTTCTGGAAAATTCTTCAATTATTAATTTGTCGATTTTAAGCTTAATAACGCCGAGTTTCAATGCGCGAATGCAAGAGATCTATAGTTTATAAGGTACAGCTCATATGGCCGCGTCGGCTTCGCGCGTGTTGCAGTACGACGCGAGTAAAGTGTACACAGAGATGCATTGTGTTTTACATGCCGTGTTTTCGGTAGGCCGCTTCCTCGAGCGATTACTGAGAATTAAGTATTCGCGAGAGATTCTATGTTTATTTAAGCCTTTATTTTAGACTTGTGAGTGTCAGCGCTTGTCAGATGGGTATGTATGTGTTCCCATACTTGCTGGCGTCCAGCAGGTGTACTCGAAGCTGCACGGAAGTGCATTACTGGGATGCATCGCGGTTTTTTCTGAATTCTGCCGAAGACCGTTAATTATTCTTAGTAAATTATTCTAAATAGCTCGACATTATCAGTTCGTGATTGTCTTTTTATTGGCGATAGTGGATTTGTATTTAAATGCATTCTAGGTGCATTTTCTACCTTAAACAGTTGGCGCAGGCGCAGTCATTCGCAATTCGGTTTCGGTCGTTTAGACGCGTGCTACAAGTCACGACATTAGTTCTCTATGTATTTGTGTTACTCATACTAGCATTGATTCGTGTATCCTGTCTAGTGACGGACGTGGTGCCGTATTGTAGGCGCATCGGACGTTACACTTACTTAATATAAGGAGACAATACAAACGTTTATTCGTGTTATATGTACAGGTGTGTGCGTGTGTGTGTTTTATATACAAAGGTGTGTGTTCGTGTAACTTCGCTAATGTGTGTGTATGTATTTCGGCGAGACGGCGAACGTACAGGACATATACAAGACGTATACAGAAAAACTATAGTCTCTTGATTACGCTTTTGAGGCTTTCACGGGTATTTTCTTCAATTATACGGGGAGAGTATACTTTCCAAGGTAAACACGTTTACCAAACTTAGGATTTCCCTGGCCAAAAAACTATCTAACTTGGCATTCCTAAAACGCTGTAGGGACAGCAATGTAGTCCCAAAATTCCTACAAGTCAAAGACAATTTGGGCACGCGTATGTCAAAGAACATTCTATGTAGAACCTGACGATTCCTCACAAAGGAACGTATCCATTTCACTAAGATACAAATAAACAAGATCTTCCAACAGTCCTTCAAATCATAGTAATACCAGCCGACAAAGGCAACGCAACAGTAGTCATGAATACATCAGACAACAGAACGAAGATGGAGTCCCTCCTTACGGACAAAACATACACAAGGCTTGACAGAGATCTAACCAACAGGATAGAACGGAAAACCAGCATCCTATTAGAAAAGAGCGGCCTACACAGCAAAATCAAAGCAACATTGAAACCTGCCAATTCCCTGCCACCAAGATTGTACGGTCTGCCAAAAATACATAAACCGAACATCCCTCTCAGACCGATTGTCAGTTCCATAAGGTCCCCAACATACTACCTCGCACGATTTCCAACCCGCGAATTACAACCCCTGATAGGAAAGACGAAGTCACATATTATCAACTCAACGGACTTCATACGGAAAATCCAAAAAATCCGTCTACACCCTGAAGATATTGGTAACGTTTGACGTAGAGTCACTCTTCACAAATGTCCCAATAATAGATACTGCAGATACTATAAAAACCTCTCAAAAGTCCCAAACAAAATCATCCCTTTAATAGAGCATTGTCTAACTACCACTTATTTTTCCTATAACGACCAATTCTACGAACAGATATCCGGGGCGGCCATGGGTTCATCCATTTCCCTCGTAGTAGCAAACATCTTCACGGAACACTTCGAAGAAGAGTCCCTCCGAAAGGCGACCAGCAAGTCAGAAATTTGGTACCGATATGTAGACGACATATTCGTAATCTGGAAACACGGAAAAGATGAACTCGACAAGTTCTTAAACTTCGTCAACCAACATCCGATTCACCTCAATACTAACATCCGATTCACCATGGAAATAGAAGAGAACGGTATGCTTCCCTTCTTGGACGTACTCGTCACAAAGAAGACACACTGGGCTATCAGGTATACAGGAAGCCAACACACACGGACAGATACTTACATGCCGAGTCACATCACTATCCAGCCCAAAAACAGTCGGCGATACACTCCCCCGTACACAGAGCTTTCAGCATCTCTGACAAAGAACATCTACAAACAGAACTCAACCATTTGAAGGAAACCTTACAGCGGAACGGATACAATGAGGAGGATGTAAATAGGATAATTAGCAAACATAGGAGTGGGACAAAGAAATCAGACACAGAATAGTCACAGGAAGAGAAAAGACAACCCCCGTTCCTCCCATACATAAAGAGAACAACAGACCGAATCGGAAAGATTCTGAATAAACACAACATTCGGACCATTTTCAAGCCCCCAAGGAAGATGGAACAAATCTTGAGAAACCCAAAGGATCAGAGACCTCCACTCAGCTCCGCAGGAGTGTACAAAATATCCTGCTCGTGCGGGAAAGTGTACATCGGTGAAACCGGAAGAACAGTCAACACACGGATGAAGGAATACCAACGGGATGTCAGGCTGAAACACATCACACAATCAGCCCTGGCAGAACATAGCATCGAGACAGGACATCAAATACTATTTGACAAAACGGCAACCATTGCCGCAACAACATCATATTTCCCGAGGAAGCACAGAGAGGCCTTGGAAATACAGAAACATCCAGACAATTTAAACAGAGACTCAGGCTATAATGTAAGCAAACTGTTGTAGCCCGCAAGTGCTACCACAATTAAGTCTCGCATTTCAGCCTAGCAACGAGCTGGCGGAAATGCAAGATTATTACTGCAAAGCAACCTTTGCATTTCGGCATAGCAACGACTTGCGGAAATGCAAGGCTGCAAATTCCATAACGCGTGCGGACAACGATCACTGATCGAACGCAAGCAATGACCGCACGCACATCGAACAATTATTAATAAAAAGCAAATCTTGCATTTCGACAGGACAACGAACTGCCGAAATGCAAGAGGACGATGTCCGCATTGCACACGGCACGAATGCCGCTAGTTCAATGACTCCGCGACGCCTATATATTCGGCGGTCTAAGGACCGGCGAGAGAGTCTTGTCAAACATCTAAACGTAACGATACGTTACGCGCGTCGCGAGAACCGAGTCATATTACATCCGCGATAACGAGTGTCGCCGACCGGTCTAAGTCACGAGCGAGGACTTTAACCCGAATATGTTCTTTAATTAAATCAATTCGACAATTGTAACCAACTATTCGAATTGTAACATAAGCAACCAAAGTGTAATCATTCAATCGGGTAATTATAATAATTAAATAAAGGGTTAAATGTAATCAGTGGTAATAACCACTCGAAATTGTAAAGTGTAATAATAAATAAAAAGGGGTTATTTTAATAAAAGTGTGGTGCAGTGAGTGTTTGTTCTACGACCTTGACCACTTTCCTCGTTTTCCTCGTGGGTTCCAACCCTTTGAGCGGATCGAATCCCAAATTAATATCTTGTTGCACCGAGAGGTACAACAAAACTATGGAAGACCGCCCTCTCGACAGGCGAAAAAAGTACCCCTCCCACCCCCCCCCTAACAGCGTCTACATAAAAAGGTAGACCCCCAGGGTAGCGACTCAGTATCAGCGCACGCCTTGCCCTTATGAAGTGAACGGTACGGTTCACGAGACGTTGGCATTAACAATGAAGAAAGACACGGCGATAACCCGCAAACCTTCTGGTATAATTGAAAAAAACTTTAGTATCAATGAGGCCGCGAACAGAAAAACCAGAGGTGTAAACTGCGCCGCGAGTACGGCGAAAACACGTGGGGATCTTTAAATCCAAATACGGACACGAGAATCGCGGAGCGCGGTCAGTGGTACGAATACCTCGTGTACGCGTGATATACGCCAGCGGCAGTAGACGATCGCGGCGCGAATAGTTTGACGGGCGTGTCACGAATGCTAATTGCACAAGCGACAAATTGTGAAAGAAATATAAATATATTAATAAATAATAAAACTCTTGTTGATAATGAGGTCAGGCGCGGCTGACGAAGTTAATAATATAAAGGAATTGCGCGATCACGCCCTCGACCGATTACCGGAACGCGCGGCGAAGTAAGTTTAGTAAAAATATTATAATATATTAAAACCGTGAGCGCGACGCGATTACGATACCACCGCCCTCGACCGATTATCGGAACGCTGACGAGAAGCGCCGAATAAGAAGGTCGCAGACCTCAATATTTCAAATAAATATGAGAAGACCGATGCAGAGTGGAGTCAGTAATTTTATTAAAGTGCAGCGCGTTACTCTGCTCGAACACGAATTAAAAAGTTAGATCGCGACATGCGTAGTGTAAGTGATACATGTGAAATAAATACTTTGTGAATAATTGTGAATTGAATAAAGTTTATTGTGTAATTATAAAGAAAAAGAAAAGTGTTGAGTTAATAATTATTTGGCTGCTCCCGAATTCTTGGTGGATCCCGAAACCCGTGTCGCAAGTAGCGGCATAACAATTTGGTGGCAGCGGTGAGATCCACACAGCTGACTCCAGGACCCGAGAGCAGCGACGGCAGCAACCAGCCTGCAAATAAGGTGTACTAATAAATAGGCGAAGGAGCGACCCAAGGAGGCAACGCAGAAGCCAGCACACCAGAAACAATATCGAGCACTCGGTATAGCAGCCGACGACCAGGACGCAGATAGCAGTGTAACCCGAGAGGCGCGACCTACCGCAAGCGTGACTCAACAGCTTCGAGCAACGACTACAAGCGACATGCGATTAGCAGCGTTAATGTAAGTCCGAAAAATTATAGCGTCGCCAATGTAATCGAACTAATGTTCGAAGGCGAAAATAATAGCGATAGTCCAAACACACCAATACCCGCAAGGATACTAACAAGTGAGCCCGTACCAAGACGGCCACATGTTAGTCAGATAAGTCCCGTGCGTATAATCGGAGAAGCCCTACGCGTTATACGCGACAACGCGCGCCTTGTCTTGGACACCCAATACTCGAGCGATAGCGCGTCGGATTCGGAACAACCTCCGAACCTAGTTATAGAACGTGTATTCCCATTCGAGGAATTCGACCAAAGCTTGTTAGGGAACGATAGGCACGCGCAACGAGAGCCCTCGTTGTTATCTTTTGAAAGCGATTTATTCGTACCCACACTTGTAAATTCCGCACCTAGCGTAATGACAACGCATCAGCTTCAGACGCCGCATGGAGACGTTAACGTCGGGAATAACCCCCCGATAGCCAACGCGGAAATAGGACTATTAAGGGGAACTGTCGAACCGCCAACAAGAAACAGACAGGAAGAAATCCTGGACCGTTTAATAGTAGTAATTAACGGATTACAAGATGGACAGAATGGAAATTACTAATAACGAGCGTGAAAATTTTCGACTCGCCGGACCTGCCGACAGGCCAGAATCGATTAATTTAACGTACGGAAGAACGCAAAACGACGTAAGAGAATTAATAAACCGGCCGATGGGATATCTACATTTGAAGGACCCTCGTAGACTGATACCCGAAATCGACGGATCTCAACGGCATAAGACACAAGAATTTATAAGCGCCAGTACTTCGCGATGGAAAAAATCAACTTCGCGGAACGTTCAGCCTTGCTCGAGGAAATATTAAATACAAAATTGAAAAGAAAACTCTTACAGGATTTTCAAACCAGAAGTATACAAAATTTCGAACAATTACGGCGAGAAATAAAGATTAACTATTTGGGAAAACGTGGAACATCGCATCTTCAATTAGAGTTTAACGCTTTAAAATAAAAAACAAGTGAAAGCGCGCGCACATACGAACGACGCGTAGATCAATTAGCGATGGAATTATACGAATCGTTAATAGAAAAAAGAAATCATACAAATGAACAGAAACGAGCGATCTTAGAGACAATTTAGAATCAAGCACTATTTGAATTAGGATTGCGTGAGGACATCAAAATGATAGTCCGATCGCAAAAATATACTACCCTGCAAGAGGCTATTAACGCCGCGAGCGCGGAAGAAAAAGTTAAGGGCCCTTCCTTAAAAACGCCATTTAACAATCAAAATAAGAGTGGGCCAAATCAAAATAAAAATATACAATGCCATAAATGCGGAAAAGCAGGACATTACGGTCAAAATTGCCGGACGAGCCGTTATGCGAATAAATTTTCCTTGCCTCGTGCTGAAAAGCTAGCAGGAATTAATACCATCGAGAAATTTTACACCTATTGTAAAAAGGCGGGACATAATCGAAACGAGTGTTGGATACTTAACGGACGAACCGATAGAGATACGCGACAACGCGCGAGACGCGAAACGGATAACAAAACAAAGCGAGTGAACACCGCAGTGAAAGCGAGAGAATCAAGAAGGAGCAAGCGAAATAGCGATAGCGAGGAAGATTCATATGCTAGTAGCGAAGAAGAAGAGAGAACGAAGACGCGGAAAAAGCGAGAGACAATTGAGCATCAGATTACGCAAGTAACCGGAAATCGTGCGAATATCGGCCTTAGATTAGTAACGTTGCTGATAAAAGAAAAAGAGATAAATCTCTTATTAGATACCGGAGCCACCCTAACACTAATCAAAGTGGGGAATTTGAATGGCGAAACGCTCATAACTAAAAAGCCAATGGCTCTCACCGGGGTGACGGGCCATCAAATTAAAACTATTGGTAAAATAAAGGCGACTGTAATAATAGGAAATAAAGAAATACGCCACACCATGCACGTCGTGAAGGATGATTTCCCTATCGACTACGCAGGAATACTCGGTATGGATTTCCTGCAGAAACATAAAATTAAGAGCGATCAAAAAAGCTATCTTCAAGTCGATGGAGTAACACTGAAACTCCATCCCTATAAAAAATTAACGCTAACTCCTCGTAGCGAAACCATTATTCAAGCGGTAACAGATAAAAATCGCATTGGAATAGTAAAATCAAAGGAAATGCGACCAGGAGTATTTATTGGCAACTGCCTGGTAGCACCTGAGGAATATGCTCGCCCAATAAGTATGCTAAATACAACGGGAGAGATAGTAGAAATAATAACACCGCTCGTGACAATAGATGAATTGCGGGCAAATGACTGCGAGAATATACTCACCCTACGTACGGCATGTAACAAGAGCAACTCACCAATACTAACGCGCCGCGAGCGTATACAAGCGCAGATAGGAACCGAACATTTAAATCAAGAGGATGTTGTACCTCTCGGTGATACAAGATATTAAATCAGGATTCGATCCGCTCAAAGGGTTGGAACCCACGAGGAAAACGAGGAAAGTGTTCAAGGTCGTTGAACAAACACACACTGCACCACACTTTTATCAAAATAACCCCTTTTATTTATTATAACAATTACAATTTCGAGTGGTTATTACCACTAGTTACATTTATTTAAGTAATAGTAACCCTTTATTTAATTAATGTAATTACCCGATTGAATGATTACACTTTGGTTGTTAAATGATTATGTTACAATTCGAATAGTTGGTTACAATTGTCGAATTGATTGAATTAAAAGAATATACTCGGGTTAAAGTCCTCGCTCGTGACTTAGACCGGTCGGCGACACTCGTTATCGCGGATGTAATATGACTCGGTTCTCGCGACGCGCGTAACGTATCGTTACGTTTAGATGTATGACAAGACTCTGCCGCCGGTCCTTAGACCGCCGAATATATAGGCGTCGCGGAGTCATCGAACTAGCGGCATGCGTGCCGTGTGCAATGCTGACTTTGTCTTCTTGCATTTCGGCAGTTCGTTGTTCTGTCGAAATGCAAGATTTACTTTTTAGCAATAATCGTTGGATATGCGTGCGGATATTGCCTGCGCTCGATCAGTGATCGCTGTCCGCACGCGCTATGGAATTTGCAGCCCTGCATTTCCGCAAGTCGTTGCTATGCCGAAATGCAAAGGTTGCTTTGCGGTAATAATCTTGCATTTCCGCCAACTCGTTGCTAGGCTGAAATGCGAGACTTAATTGTGGTAGCACTCGCGGGCTATAAGAAGGAAAAGAAGACCATTGAGCGATTATGCGAAGATTTCTGCGATATCTTTCATTTAGATGGAGATATGCTGACGCACACATGAAATAAATATCCGCACAAATAGCGCACCTGTAAATGTGCGACCTTATAGATTACCAGAGAAACATAAGGAAGAGGTAAATCGACAAATAGAAAAAATGCTAAAAGAAGATATTGTCCGACCTATGGTGGAAATATATAAGGTGAAACAATGCGCATAATGGCGGCTGCTTAAAATTTTAACCAATCAAATTTACCCGATGAGGTAACGCGTAAATTTTAAATGTTATAAATTACTTGGAAATAAAAACACCGTATTTATATTAAAAATTATTCATATTTATTAATATAACGTTAAAAATTGCAATTTTAAAATAGTAAATAGCAATTAAGAAGTTATATAATATAAAGAAAATAAACAAATGTAACTGAAATAAATGAATAAAATACAAATTGAAAGTAAACAAGTAACAGGTATCAAAGAATAATGTTACAAATATGTTTGAATTTTTTTTCTTATTTTTTTGACTATTAGTCATTGTTATCATCTTATTTTTTTGTTTTAATCTGATGTATATACGTTCTTGTTAGTACAACTAAACTTTCAACAACCTTTCTCGGAGAGAGAAATGTATACTTTATCTTTTTACACACTATTTCCATGAAATGCAATGAATTCGATATTCATTACTTCTGCAACTCTGAATCTTCCCATGCAACATATCATGTGCCGACCCTGAATTTTGTATCACCGGGCATATTTGATTGGTTCACCGTTTCCCACTACTTTTATGCTACTGCGCATCCATCAGATTGCTTCACCTTATATATTTCCACCATGATCCGACCTAGCGCGAGTCAGTGGTACGCGCCACTACTGGTCGTTCCAAAGAAAGGCGACACGACAAAGAAGCCGAAACTGAGAATAGTGATAGATTTTCGAAAACTTAACGAGCTAACGATAGGCGACTCTTTCCCTCTGCCGAATATAAATTGTAACGATGCATCCCCCATCGTTCCGGCACACGCCACCCAGCCGAACGCAGCTGAATTGCTATGCAATGCAGTGATGAGAGCGCATAGCGCCCGATAAAACCGAAAACATAATTCACAGGTACAAGCGGCAGTAACAGCCGCGTAACGCCGAGCACCGCCGAACGAGGCCGAAAGAGATCGACCGCCGCGGACTCCCACTTCTTGGGACTTAGTCCAACGCACCGCGAAGCGCGGACAGCGAGAAAATGCGAGCAAAACCGAAGGCTCACGAACGCGGCATTTTGGTGATATAAAAATCCCGCGTTACGCACAAACGGGTGATTCCTGTTCCAACCAGATCCTAGCAACGAATCCGACTTCCTAGAACCGTAACGATACCAAGAAAACCGGGCCGGAGAGTGCTCCAGCTCCGCCGAGAGTGCTCCAGCTCCGCCGAGAGTTCTCGGCAGGTACCGACAAGGCGTCCTATAGCACCGAACGGCAAGAACAGAGGGGCAGAGTGTACTCTGCCTCTGCCGAGCGTTCTCGGCAGCCGTTTCGGTGCAACGCGCAACGACCAACGTCCGGGGGCGGAGAGTACTCTGCCTCCGTCGAGCGTCCTCGACCGTTGGCCCGCGCCGACCGCTCCTTGCACTTCGCACTGCGATCAACCAGCATTCGTCCGGGGGTGGAGGGATCTCCACCTCTGCCGAGAATTTTCGGCCGCTGGTCATCGCCCGTCTGAATACAAATACGCGAACCCGCGATAGAGAACGAAAGCCGCGCGTTACGAATAATAGACTGTCGCATCGACAGTTCTAAAATTAGATCGTTCACAGCTGATCAGCCGCGCTAGTCAACACCGCGAGAAAAAGAGCATAGCGAGTCCGTTTTTTTTAGCCCGTCATAACACCGCCGCGAGCAACACACAGCACACTCGCTCTCACTCGCTCACTCGCGTTCTCACGAGCAACTCACGCACTCACACGCATACTCTCCACTTTGTAATACACGCACACCGCGCCGCTTGCGCTTCGCATATACACCGATACACACACATATACACATACTCTCTGCGTTGTAATACACGCACACCGCGCCGCTTGCGCTCCGCATATACACCGACACACGCACATACACACACACTCGCACATATACACTGCGTCGCTCAGTTCGCATACCGCTGCGACCGCCTTGGCGTAAAGCAATTTCTTTTGCTTCTCTTTCGATAGTACATAAGCCGTTTCGGCGAAACAAATAAAGCTAATTGTTTTTTTTATCATACACCTGTCTGAGACTTTACTTGCCTTGCATTCTCCCCCCGATCGAACCTCTTTTGAATCCTTGGCCGAATATTCCGACGAGCTGACGCCGCGCAATTCGAGAATTAGGTCGTTACAAAATGATATTTTAGATCAATTAGGAAATGCAAAATATTTTTCCACATTAGATCTCGCTTCGGGATATCATCAAATTCCCATGAGCGAGGAACACAAAAATAAAACAGCCTTTTCCACTTCGCATGGGCACTACGAGTTCAATAGAATGCCCTTCGGGTTAAGGAATGCACCCGCAACGTTTCAAAGATTAATGAACGCGATATTAGCCGAAATTCAAGGCCTGAGATGTCTCGGATACTTGGACGACATCGTCGTCTACGGATCAAATTTGGAAGAACATAACAAACGCCTGATTGAAGTAATGCAGCGTTTACGGAAACATAATCTAAAATTACAGCCCGACAAGTGCAATTTCCTTAGAAAGGAAGTAATTTATCTAGGTCCAATAATTACTGAAAATGGAATACGACCAGATCCAAGCAAATTAAGTGCTGTAAACAATTTTCCTATACCGAGAAAAATCAAGAATGTGCAATCATTTATCGGATTGGCCGGATATTACCGGAAATTCATTGAAGAATTCTCTAAAATTGCAAAACCCCTTACGAGTTTAACCAAAAAGGGGATAAAATTTGAATGGGGTATGGAACAGCAAAACGCGTTCGAATTATTAAAGGCAAAACTCACGACGGCACCCGTACTAAGTTACCCGGATGTCTCTCGTGAATTCTTAGTAACGACCGACGCATCCGATCATGCAATCGGAGCCGTATTATCACAAGGTCCTGTAGGCAGAGACCGACCGATTGCTTATGCTAGTAGAATTTTGAATAAAGCCGAACAAAACTATAGCACAACGGAAAAAGAACTATTAGCTATAGTATGGGCCGTGAAACATTTTCGACCATATTTATATGGTACAACGTTTACCATTGTGACAGACCACAGACCTTTAATCTGGCTATTCAATGTCACGGATCCAGGTTCTAGATTAATTAGATGGCGACTAAAATTAGCGGAGTACGATTATAAAATCGTACACAAAAAAAGGCAAATGCAATACAAATGCCGATGCATTAAGCAGAAATCCAGTTACGGACGACCCACACGTCAATCTCATCCATCCGGAGGAAGAAGAACGGCAAGAAGAAGAAGAAGAAGAAGAGGAAGAAACAATTAAAGAATATACGGCTGAGGAGAAACGCCGCATACTGTACGAGTATTACAACGCTCTATTAGGGGGGCATCAGGGGGTCGCGCGGACACTGAACCGTATCCGATTACTACATAACTGGAGAGGCATTACTCGAGACGTCGAGGAATACATAAGCAAATGCGATTATTGCCAAAAGAATAAATTAAATAAAAAGACGAAAATGCCATTAATAATTACAGACACGCCTACGAAACCGTTTTAAAAATGTGCATTGGATATCGTAGGACCATTAACTGTCGCAACCAATGGAAATAAATATATCCTGACCTTCCAGGACAATTTAACTAAATTCAGTAAAGCTATTCCTATATATAATCAAGAAGCGGCTACCGTTGCGAAAGCATTCGTGACTAAAATAGTAGTAGAACACGGCACGCCGGATAAAATTCTTACCGATCAAGGTACTAACTTTACTAGCGAAATGTTTAAAAATACTTGCAAACTATTGGAAATAGAAAAGATACAAACAACAGCCTATCATCCGGAGAGTAACGGAGCCTTAGAGCGCTCACACAGAACGAATATTTCTAGCATTATGTTAACGAGGAACAGAGCGACTGGAACGAGTGGCTACCCTACGCAATGTTCGCCTATAATAATAACTCTAGTAAGCGGAATAATAGTAGGTATTTTATGGCTTATAAAAAATAAGGATAAAAGTGTAATCCGGGATTATAGATGTGTACAATAACGGAAACTCGTAACCTCGTTTCCTTTTCCCAAAGGCGGAGGAATGTCACGAGTGCTAATTGCACAAGCGACAAGTTGTGAAAGAAATATAAATATATTAATAAATAATAAAATTCTTGTTGATAATGAGGTCCCCGATGAGAACACATATGTAGTATCCACGTGGAGTCTACGTGTTTTACGTGGACTACGGAATTAAAAATTTATTTACATAATATCCACGTGGATTCTACGTAGACAATTCCATATAGATTTCAATACGTATAATCCACGTGGATTGCATAGAGTGAAAATCGAATGTTAATTTATCCACGTGAATTCAACGTTGCTATTTCATATTTTTATTTCCGTTAAATTTCATCAGTAATTGATCCACATGGATTATACATAGTTGCTTTAAAAAAAATATGTATACAAAATGGATAATTTTTTAAATACGCAACTATGTGTTTTTTTTATACCACTTGATTTATCTCATTATTCTGTTCACAAAAGTATTAATATACGACAATCAAAAAGTCAACAGTTTACGAGTTATTTAACATTTTGTGTCTATATGTATCAAAATAAAGTGTAAAATATCTCGAAAACTATTAGTTTTTTGGTATGTCTACCTTAATACTTTTATATGCAAAATAATTAGAGAAATCACGTTATCTAAAAAAAATTACATAATTCCATTTAAAAAAGTGGAGGTGACCTTCATATCTTTTTAGCACCTCCACTTAGAAAAAAAACAACGTGACTAAAACGTGTCCCCCTCGATACCGTTCCATTTTTATTTGAAACATTTTTGTCTACAGGATTTAGTTTTCGAGAAATTCAGGTGGGGAGATTAAAATGGCTCACCCTGTATATCAAGCGACGCGGTAGCGTCGCGACGCCAAGTGCATAAAATAAAAATATAACCGTTTGACATGATGACATGATACTTGATGTGTGTATATGTTCATGTCGATGTCAAATTCACGACGCTACCACTAGCTTTATCTCGAGTTTTCACATCTTGAAACTTTAGATTAAAATTACACAGAATTTAAAAGCACAATCAAAAATCTAAAAACACTTTTATTATATAATGTCATCGGTATCTTTCGATTGCGACCAGTCCGAATAAAATTGGTGCAGCCGATACCGAGATCTAGAGACCGAATCCCGAAAAGGGTACGTTTCAGTTATGTTCAGACGTACATGTGACACATACATGTATTTTTCAATCGTACGTGTGACACATACATGTAATTCAACTGCTTTACTTGAAAAGACTAGTATAACAACGACCAAACGTGTACTTATTATTCAATTATTATTATTTAAAGTTAATAATGAAGAAGTTATAAAGATTACAAATCTTAATATTAAATCCATACCTTCGTCAAAAATTTGTATCGGTGATAATATTTATAAAGTGAATAGTGCGATTCTTTATCATGGTAAAAATATAGACGAAGGACATTACACAAATTTATTGCGA